GCCATCGCTTCCATCTGGGCCAAAGTTGACCTGGAAAATGATGGTCACGATGCCCTGGCCAGGTAAACATGCGAAAGTGTTTTGTTTAGTAGGCAGGGTGTTTATTTTATTCACATTTTGAAATCCTATCAAACTGTTTATTTAAACTAAAATTATATGAGTAGAGGTTGAGGCACTCACAGGTCTTGCAGCAGGAAAAATTAGAATGAACAGCAAAAGTTTTTTGCGTTGATCTCTACTCATTTATTGGACACCAAAACACTTTTCTGTCCACTCTAACTTCTCCTACAGCAAGACCTGTAAATGCTTTAACCTCTACTCATTTCTCTTTTGGTCATTTGACTGCAGTGCACCTGGGCTGATCTTCATCAAAGTGTGCATTTGACTACATTTGGCAATATATACATGTATAAATTATATGTGGCTGTTGAATATTGGATGTCAGATATGGAGGAATAGAATATGTAGTTCATATGTATTTTATTTTTATTAGGCTTCTTCAAGTCTATCCATGGACCCAGAGGTATTTCAGCAGCTTTGGAAATCTGTCCAGCCCTGCTGCCGTTACTGGTAACGCCAAGGTCCACGCCCATGGCAAGAAGGTTCTTGGTGCCATTGACAACGCCATTCACCATCTTGATGATGTAAAACAGACCCTGGCTGGCCTCAGCAAGCAACATGCTGATGAGCTCTATGTGGATCCCGAGAATTTCAAGGTACAAATCTATACCATATCCCAACAATAGTGGGGTTAATTTAAGAGTATGTTCACTGTGTACTGTTTATGATCACTGAGCTTAGTGAATGAAATAAGCTATGTTCACTTTGAATACCCAGTCTTGTGTGAACAGGATTTCTGCTTTCACATGATTGGATGGTTTAGGTCAGCACAGCTTTACCACATTCACTCAATGAAAATTCACTTTGATAAGTGAACATCCTATAGTCCTTTAGTAAATCAACCCAGCTATCATTGGATACATGTATCCTAATGACAGAGTCTCTGGAAGGAAATCCTGTGTACATACCACACCTGTGCAGAAAGATGTCACCCCCATTTGTTGACGCCCTTTTGACACGTTATTCCCCTGTCATGATTATTTTAATTAAAATTACTCCTAGAATGCACTATAGAGCAGCTTGCTCTATACCTTATATAAAACACTACCTTTCATCTATACAGACCACCCCTACATGCATGGGGAGATGGTTTTACATTTTCTGAATTATAAAAAACCCTTTTGACTTCTCTCATCATCTCCTGCCCCCCCTACAGTTTTTGGTGTATTTAGCCACAAATATCTAGGGGAAGACAAAGACTTCTACTATACTCCAAGCTATGTGTCTTTTTGTGATGCAAGTCAAACACAGAAAGCCACCGAAAGCAAATGTACATCTGAGGCTGGGCTGTCACTCTGGAAAATCTCCCATTTGTATAGCTGCCATTCAGCTCCTTGAAGAGATACTATCACCTTGCTCATGCAGGGCATAGTGGCAGTGTCTTGGCAATGGGCATCCCCTTATATTCATCTTACCTCCGCAGCCTGGAAAACACACCACATTTTGGTATGGGGAAGCATGTGACCTGCTCTCCTTTGATGGTGCCCAGGCCTAGCAGCTAAGCATTAGGCCTGAGCACTGCCATATGACTAGGGGAGCAATGTCACACTCCTACTGGTCACTGCTACAGCCACATACAGTGCCAGCTATGCCATATACAGAGACCTTGTCACTTTGGCTTGCATGGGTATGGTGACAGTGTCTCTTTAATGGCTCGTTTCATGTGGGACACAAATTGGGAGACTTTCAGTGGTTTACAGTGGAAGAAAGTATGTGCACACGTTTTCTGCTTTCTAGTTGAAGGTGGAAAAACTCTATAAATTACCATATTTTACAAAATGTGCTGGAAAAGAAAAGTAACAAATACAAACAGGAAATACACGTGAAAAATCAATACATTCAATAGGGTTTATATTTCTATATAATGCCTGTTACTGTACTTTATCCTCCAATCTTAACTTAGGTACCTCTCTGTCTGTCCTAACCATTCATTGTCCTTTCTGTTCACAGCGTCTTGGTGACATGCTGATCATTGTTTTGGCCTCTAAGTTGGGATCTGAATTCACCCCCAAAGTCCAGTCTGCATGGGAGAAGTTCATTAATGTCTTGGTTGCTGCTCTGAGCCATGGATATTACTAAATGTTTGTTTTATCAGTTGTGTATAATTTTCTACAGATCATTGCAGTGTGAAAAATAAAATATTTAAAACGAAACTTCTGTGCTTAGTTCTCTTTCACTGCATTATGTTCACTTTACTTAAAAACAGATGGATTTCATAGGCAATTATTTGTA